GCGTGTTGGCCGTGTGGGCAGAGCTCGAACGGCAGGGCGGGCGGCATGGACGTGAGCTTGAGCATGGTGGCCCGGGCGCCCGGCCCGCTCCTCGGCCCCGGTCTTGGGCTCAATGGCCTCCCCCGGCCCCCGCCCCCGAAGGTGACCAAGAAACCTAAAAAGGCCGTTCTCTTCTTCGAGGTGGAGATTCTAGACGCGAAGACGAGGGAGAAGCTGTGTTTCCTGGACAAGGTAAGCCAGTGGCGCCAGCTGCCCTGGGGCTCTGGGCCGGGGACCCCCACCCCTTCCAGCCAGGAGCTGTCCAGCTGGGCCCGTCACGCCCCACCCCTCCCTTAGGAGGTAACCGAGGGGTGCCGTGTGCACTGGAGTAGGGTGGGCAGTTGTGGCTCCTGGGTGTGGCCAGGGGCTGGCCTCCCCGCTGGGGCAGCCTCAGTGGACCCTTCAGGGCTTTGGGGCTTGGACAGGAGGTGGAGGACAGAGACTTGTCCCTGCCGAGGCCAGGGCCGGGGAAAAGGGCCACTCCAGAAGTGTGGGCTGGACTCGGCCCTCAGGCTGGGGGAGCTGTGGGCGGGGGCGGAGATGCACGCCCAGTGTCCTGTGCTCCAGGTGGGGCGCTGGCTGCCTGGTAAAACAGAAACCCCAAGCTGTAGCTATGTCCTGACCACGTGGGTGGGGGTCTGGGTCCTCCCCTTCTCCTTTCCCCCTCCCCATGCTGCAGCCTAGCGCCCCCAGTCCACCCCTCACACCACCTTGTCCTGGGGTCCTGAGTCTGGGCTGCTTTGGGGCTCACGCGTCTGTGGCTGTGACCCCCCCAGGTGGAGCCCCAGGCCACCATCGCTGAGATCAAGAACCTCTTCACCAAGTCCCGTGAGTCCAGGGCCTGGCCACACTGTCCCCTGCAGCCCCTCTGGGCAGGGATCCCTTTGGGGGGGGACCCCTTTCTACACTCCTCTCTCCTAGGGCCTGCAGAGATGCCCCTGAGGCTGGCCCTGGCTTCTGTGGGCTTGCCTGGAGCAGGGCCCCCACGTGGCCGTCAGCAAAAACGCCCTTGCTGGGCTTGCAGAAGGACAAGAGCCTGCCTTTGCCCTGGCTCCTGGACTGTGTGTCCTGGAAACGACACGAGCCTCCCAGGCCATGGGCCCAGGGGTGGGAGGGGTCATGGGGTCTCTGAGAAGCTGGCACAGTGGGGTGGGCACCAGGCTCTGCCAGGCTGTGGGCCGTGACCGGGCAATTCTCCCTGCAGATCCTCAGTGGTACCCCGCCCGCCAGTCCCTCCGCCTGGATCCCAGTGAGTACAGCTGTCCGCTGTCCCTCCCCCCTGGGCTTCCTGGTGGCAGTGGGAGTGGGCCAGGCAGCCCCTGAGCCCTGGCCCACCTCTCTGCAGAGGGCAAGTCCCTGAAGGACGAGGATGTTTTGCAAAAGCTGCCCGTGGGCACCACAGCCACGCTCTACTTCCGGGACCTCGGAGCTCAGATCAGCTGGGTGACGGTGAGTCTTGACCCCACCCACTGCCTCCTGTCTGGTCCACCACGTTGGGGCGACTCACTTTGCACGCCCTGTGTCCCCAGGTATTCCTGACAGAGTATGCGGGGCCCCTTTTCATCTACCTGCTCTTCTACTTCCGGGTGCCCTTCATCTACGGCCACAAATACGACTTCACGTCCAGTCGGCACACGGTGGTGCAGTGAG